TGCTGGCAGAAGGGAACAATCCGAAGTGTCACCGAAAGGATCCAAAGAGCAAAGGGATCTGAGGGTTCAAGATGGAGGCAGCAGGCGAGAGGGGAGACGAAAGCAGAAGCCGGAGGGTGACTCTTGTATGTCTCAGTGTGATGAAAACCAAATTCCCAGAGAGGAGAAAAAGCATGAATGTTTGGAGTGTGGAAAGAGCTTCAGTAACAGTAGCAGCCTTACCTCGCATCAGCAAACTCATACAGAGGAGAAACCTTATAAATGTTTGGAGTGTGGAAAGAGCTTCGGTCACAGTAGTGCCCTTACCGTGCATCAACGAACTCATACAGGGGAGAAACCGTATACATGTTCAGAGTGTGGAAAAAGCTTCAGTCACAGTAGTGTCCTTACCATGCATCATAGATCTCATACAGGGGAGAGACCGTATACATGTTCAGAGTGTGGAATGAGCTTCAGTCAGAGTGGCCACCTTAAGTCGCATCAAAGATCTCATACAGGAGAAAAACCGTATACATGTTTAGAGTGTGGAAGGAGCTTCAGTAGGAGTAGCACCCTTAAGTCGCATCAAAGAACTCATACAGGGGAGAGACCGTATACATGTTCGGAGTGTGGAAAGAGCTTCAATCAGAGTAGTTCCCTCACCTTGCATCTACGAACTCATACAGGGGAGAAACCGTATACATGTTCAGAGTGTGGAAAGAGCTTCAGTCACTGTGGTGCCCTTACCTCGCATCAAAGATCTCATACAGGAGAAAAACCGTATACATGTTTAGAGTGTGGAAAAAGCTTCAGTGAACGTCGCACCCTTAAGTCGCATCAAAGTTCCCATACAGGGGAGAGACTGTATACATGTTCGGAGTGTGGAATGAGCTTCAGTCAGAGTGGCCACCTTAAGTCGCATCAAAGATCTCATGCAGGAGAAAAACCGTATACATGTTTAGAGTGTGGAAGGAGCTTCAGTCAGAGCAGTTCCCTCAGCTTGCATCTACGAACTCATACAGGGGAGAAACCGTATACATGTTCAGAGTGTGGAAAGAGCTTCAGTCACTGTGGTGCCCTTACCTCGCATCAAAGATCTCATACAGGAGAAAAATCGTATACATGTTCAGAGTGTGGAAAAAGCTTCAGAGAACGTGGCACCCTTAAGTCGCATCAACGAACTCATACAGGGGAGAAACCGTATACATGTTCAGAGTGTGGAAGGAGCTTCACTCAAAGTAGCACCTTAAGTCGCATCAAAGAACTCATACATGGGGAGAAACAGCCATACGTGTTTGGAGTGTGGAATGAGCTTTGCTCACAGCTATGGGCTTACTAGACATCAACAAACTCATCGAGGCAGCAAACCTTATAATGTTGGGGAATGTGGCAAGAGCTTCAGTCGCAACGACTACCTTTCTTCGCATTGAAAGAATTCATACAGGGGAGAAACGATATACATGTTTGGGAGTGTGGAAAGAGCTTCAGCCAGAGTGGTAGCCTTACCTTGCATCAAAGATTGCACACAGGAGAGAAACCGTTTAAATGTTTGGAGTGTGGAAAGATCTTCTGTCGCGGTAGCCAACTCACGTTGCATCAACGAACTCATACAGGAGAGAACCGTATACATGTTCGGAGTGTGGAAAAAGCTTCAGTTGCAGTAGCTCCCTTACGTTGCATCAACGAACTCATACAAGAGAGAAACCTTATACATGTTCGGAGTGTGGAAGGAGCTTCAGGTGCAGTAGCTCCCTTAAGTCGCATCAAAGAACTCATACAGGAGAGAAACCGTATACATGTTCAGAGTGTGGAAGGAGCTTCAGTCACAGTAGCTCCCTTAAGTCGCATGAAAGAACTCATACAGGAGAGAAATCGTATACGTGTTCGGAGTGTGGAAAAAGCTTCAGTCGTAGTAATATCCTTACTAGCCACCAAAGAACCCATACAGGGAGGAAATCTTAGAAATGTTTGGCCTATAGAAACAACTTATGTCACAGGGGCTCCCTTACTAACTGAAAAGAACTCGTACAAGGGAAACAGAAAGGTTGGAGTGTGGAAGATATTTAATCATATTGAATAATGCCTATAGAGAGTAAACCAATGATTGTGTTCAGAATTAGAATTTGCTTCCATTAGAATATTTATTCCTTTTAGTGGCTGTGTTGCAGATTGTTCTCCTGATCAGAGTTAAATTTACATAGCTATGTTCTGTTTTCTTTCCCATGTGTTATTTCCCGTGTATTCATCACTTGTTTATAGTGTTGCTTTAATATTTCTCCCATCCCCAAGATTTGTTAATCTGGTGTGAATTGATCTGATATTTTTCATAGACACAAATGCATTCACTGGTATTCTGTTGACGTATGTAAATGATGTATCTTTGCAATGAGAGTATAGCCCCTCAGATCACAGCTCTAATGAACAAATGCTGTTGAAAAATATATACTGTATAATAAGCCTCAATGCACACTCAAGAGAAAAATTCTTCTTTGGCGATCACTCAGAGCCGAGTAAGATAGTCTTCCATAAACACGGTTTTAACAATGAGTCCATGAGTGGGGTTTCTGGTTTGCCTGCGAAGGGAAATGGCGGCGTGGTGCGAGTCGTCCGTCTAAAAGGCGACCATTACCGGGGGCAGGGGTTAGAGCAATGGAGGAGAGTGCCAGGGTTAGGCACCCCCCAAAAAAAGGCAGTAGGGTGTCGAGGGGACCAGCCAGGCATAAAGAGGCTTGTCGCGATTGCCGGAGCTCCACCACTGCATTGGCAGTGAGTGGGGGGGGGGGGTGTGTGAGAGAGAGAGAGACAGCGATTTGAGCCTGCCCGTGGCTCCAGCGTGGCTCAGAATCCTGAAACCATGAATCACCACCTGAAGCAGCAGACTTTCAAAGGAAAAAAGTTATTGTCAACAACAATGGAGTTTTCAAAATCAAAAGAATTGCGGTACAGACTTGTAAATGGGGAAAAAACTTTGGAGACACATCAGTCTTCAGATACTTTTGAAACTGCACTTTGCTACTTAATAACACGATATACTTTGGATACAAGAAGAAACTGTTGCTCTTTGTTCTTTGATTTCTTAAAAGGAAGATAACAGGAAGAGATTGGAGTACTCTCAGTTCTTATGAATAGGAATGCAGATTTTATGAGGGAAAGTACTGAAAGGCTTGGAAAAATTGCCAAGATTTAAAAAATAATAATTCTAAAAAGGACCTTGTATCTTGGCAAGTCCTACCAAACCTTGGCAGAAGGACACTTTTCCATAAGTGGGAGGTAATCCCAGGGAGGGAAAGTGCCTGGTAAGAGCTGGAGTAGGAAAGGGGGGGGGAGGATTTCTGTTTAAAGAACAGGGCCTGTATTGGAATAAAAACTGAGAGAAGCAGCAGATATTGGATTACAAACATCATTTGGATTACAAATATCATTTTATTCATTTATTTATTTATTTACGGCTATTAGCCCATAAAATATGTACAAACATAAAAAAACACAAAGGCTTAAAAACCGAAATATCTGACAACAGAAGGTGAACACTGCGATGCAAGGGTGGGTCATTGGGCAGAGCCAAATAACATGATGTGGCCCGGAGAGCTCCAAGGGACGGTTCACAGAAAAAGGAAAACTGAAGACGAGATCCGACATGCACTCTCATCATAACTGTCCGATTAGATTTTGATGTTGTTTTTTGGTGGTTTTTGCGTGTGAGATAACCGCATTCAGGAATCTCGCCACCTGCAGAGTAACAGAAGGATCTGTATCCTGCAAAAGCAGTGCGGCGTGTGACTCAACAGGCCTGCCAACCAAGCGCAGTAAAGCAGGGCCCAGGAATTTAGTCCTGGCTATGCTATGTAGGGGACAATTGAACATTATATGTGGAAGAGTTACAAATATCATTATAAATACGCCTGGAAAATTTTTGGACTCACAGTGGAGTTTTAGATTACAAGACATTTTGTGGATTATAATATAACTAGAAGTTTGGCAAGTGCTAAATCATCATCAAGGAGACAACATAACAGCGAGTTTGAACAGTGGTAACTATTAGACTGCTGTTGTGGCCTGCTTTTTTATTTTTTCTTCCGTAGATTGTATATAAAGGTGATCTTGCCCTCTTCTTTTTTTTTTTTTTTTTTTGTATATTGTGGAACTTTTATAATTTGCTGTAAACCTGAAAGTGTTGTTACAGTTTGGTTTAAAAGGGTGTGGGAATTGGATTGGTGGGAGAACTGCTGTATACAAGATAGGGGAAAAGACTTGTATACAAGTGAGGAAAAGACCTGAAGTGTCCTTAAGACAGAAGCGCTTGGGAACAGTTTGTTTTTGAGAACTGACATGGCAGAGAAATCTAAACAGGAGCCAGTAAAACAGAGAGTGTCAGAAAGAAGGAGAGTCTGAGCACAGGGAGATATAGAAAATACTCCAAAATCAGAAATGGCTGAACTTGTGGCCTTACATTTTGCAGAATTTAGGAAAGGGTTGGAGCAGACTATGATTAAACCAGTGTTCCTCAACCTTGGGCCTCCAGCTGTTTTCGGACTACAATTCCCATCATCCTTGACCACTGGTCTTGCTAGCGAGGGATGATGGGAGTTGTAGTCCAAAAACAGCTGGAGGCCCAAGGTTGGGGAACACTGGATTAAACAATTTATGGAAATAAGATCAGATATAGAGAACACCAAGGAAGTATTGTCGCAGAAATTTGACAGACTGGATGAAAAAGTAAATGCTTTGGATGTCAAGGTAGTAAAACTAGAAAAAACTGGAATTAAGAGAGGAAATAAAGGAAGATCAATTGGCTTTAGCGGGGGCGGTAGGGGGCCTGGCAGACAGACAGAATGAACTGGAACAACAGAATTTACTTTTACAATTACAGTGGTACCTCAGGTTACATACGCTTCAGGTTACAGACTCTGCTAACCCAGAAATAGTGCTTCAGGTTAAGAACTTTGCTTCAGGATGAGAACAGAAATCGGGCTCCGGTGGCACGGCAGCAGCTGGAGGCCCCATTAGCTAAAGTAGTGCTTCAGGTTAAGAACAGTTTCAGGTTAAGTACGGACCTCCGGAACGAATTAAGTACTTAACCTGAGGTACCACTGTAAAATTAAATTAAAATTTGAATAAGAGGGTTGCTGGAAAAGGAGAAGGAACAAGGCCTTGCAAGTTATATGGGCGGGATATTGGGGAATTGGATGGGTGCAGAGGAAGGAATGGAAGAATGCATTGAGAATGTTTACAGAGTTTGAACCCGAGCTTCAAGAGAGAAAAGAACAGCCATCAGACATTCTCTTGACTTTCACAACAAAGAAAATTAAAGATGCAGTAATGCAAAAAAGTTTTGAGGATGGTCTGGTGGTTGAAGGACAGAAAGTTGACATTTTTAAAGAAATGCCATTTAAATTGAGAGTTAAGAGAAGGAAGTATCAAAACCTGACAGCAATTTTAAGAGGAGCAGAAATAAATTACAAATGGGAATTCCTGGAGGGAGTTTCCTTTACCTACAGGAGAAAGAGATTTAGACTAATCTCAGAGAGTCAGGTACAGGAATTCTTAGCGAAACATGGCAAAGACCCAGAGTTTCAAAGCTCGGGGAGAGACTTTAGAACCCCTTATGAGATGCAAAGAGATGAACTGGAAAAGACTGAAAGAGCAGGGCAAAAAAGCAAATCTTTTAAAAATGAATTAAAGGTAAAGGTAAAGGTACCCCTGCCCGTACGGGCCAGTCGTGTCCGACTCTAGGGTTGTGCGCCCATCTCACTCAAGAGGCCGGGGGCCAGCGCTGTCTGCAGACACTTCCGGGTCACGTGGCCAGCGTGACAAAGCTGCTCTGGCGAGCCAGCACCAGCGCAGCACATGGAAACGCCCTTTACCTTCCCACTATAAAGTGGTACCTATTTACCTACTTGCACTTAAGGGTGCTTTCAAACTGCTAGGTGGGCAGGAGCTGGGACCGAAAGATGGGAGCTCACCCCGCCACAGGGATTCGAACCGCCGAACATGCGATCGGTAAGCCCTAGGCACTGAGGTTTTACCCACAGCGCCACCCGCGTCCCTTTTTAAAATGAATTAGATAATGGCAAATCTTAAATTACTAACTTGGAATGTCAGTGGCCTTAACAGTAATATAAAAAGAAACAGGGTGTGGCATGAGTTTTAAAACGGAATTTGGATATAATTTGCCTACAGGAGACTCACGTTGCAAGAAAGCATGAGAAAATCTTGAGTAATGAGAGACTAGGGAGCCATTTTGTTGCATCAGATGTTTCCAAAAAATGTGGAATTGCTTTGTACATAAAACCTGCACTTGAACCACAATTAATTCAAAAGGATGAGAAAGGGAGAAAATTAATGGTAGAAATTAAATTTGAGGGAGAAAAAAGAATTTTGGTAGGGATATATGCACCAAATTAAAATAAATAAATAAAAATTCAGGATTTTGAGACAATTAGAGTCCCATCACTAGCGAAAGAACGATTAGGAGGAAAGACACGAAAGAGGGTAGACTTCTCAAAACTTTTTTTGAAATGATAGAAAATGTAAAATTGATAGATATTTGGAGAATTAAGCATCCGTTCGAAAAACAGTTCACTTTTTTCTCTCATGTTCATGAAAGCAGTGCCT